TATATATATATATATATATATATATATATATATATATTTGTCTAGGGTTAACATGCAAACATGTCTCTAAATATATATGTTACAATAATATGTGTGTGTAAAATTCATCAAATAAAAATATAAATGTATATCACTTAGTGAGACTACAACACAAGCTACATTAGAGTAACATCTAAGAATAAGAGTCTAGTACATATATTAATCCACTACACAACATGATTTCTTGGATTTTGTCACCTAGACTAGGAAAGTCTAGTATTTCTGTTTGGGATAAAACAACTTAGGTGTGAATCTTAGCATACATAACTAAGCCTATATGACATTAGCCTATATGAACCAGTCCATCGATTACTCTCCAAATATTGTGCCCCTTCTAGTACTTAGTTAGAGATTTTGGTCCCTAACCTTGTACTTTATTCAGTTAGTCAGTACTAAACTAATATGACTTGACTTTACTTCTATACAGTATCAACGAAGGACCTAGAGGAAACTCAACACTCCATTTCAAGAGAGAATTATACTAAAGAAGGGTTTTCAACAACCACAACATCATATCCTCATAAAAGATATTCATCTTTTTAAAATATCTATCCTCTAGTCCTAAGTGAATCAACACAACATAATTACACGCTTCAAGCATTCACAACACAACTTCTTTGAACAATATAAAACTCATTTTGTCAATGAACTACTCTAACTTCATAAAATTTCAACTATAATTAACTCTCAACTGTGTCTACTAAAATATAATAATATATCAATGCCTAATGTTATTCAGGTAAAAAGTCTTTTCCTAACCCACGCTCGACACCACAAAATCTATGCCTAGCATTCTATAGGCAGAGAGCTACTACCTTGATCACACTAATACCACTGAATCTAGGCCTGATGTCAGCAAGTTAGAGAGCCCTCAAGACAATCATGTTTGATGCCCTTCAACCTACAGTCAATGTGATCAAGCTAGAGAATTCTCCTCTAACTCACACCTGACATTACAAATCATATGCCCGATGTTAGTGAGGTAAAAAACCTCTGACTTGCTTCACTCCCGGTACCATAAGTTGCATCCAACGTGATGGAAATAGTTCAACAAGTAGATCTAAGAGCTTCCCTTACCTTAGATCACCTAGAACAAAGGTAGAAAAAGAAGATTCAGATCCTTCGGGGAACTTTGCATGACAACTTTGAGAACTTTGATTCTCAGCTCTAAAAGCTTTGAATCTCAACACAACTACTCAATCTAACTCAGGGGAAGGGACCTATACTATTTATAGAATCAAAAGAAGGAAATAAATTTATCTAGCTCCAAAACTTCTTTCTCTAACCTCCCTCTAACCTTTCTCTAATTTTTTTTTTTAAGGAAATGAACTTATGAAGTTCAATTCTTAAAACAACCTTATATACCTTCCCCTAAACTCGGTCAACTTTGACATCATCTCAAAATATTTCCTAAACAACTAAATTCATAAGAATTCTTTAATCCTTATGGTGTGTTTGAATTATTTTGAAATTCTCTCCCTCTTTCTCTTTCTTTCTCTCCCTCTCTCTTTCTCTCTCTCTCTCTTTCTCTCTCTCTCTCTCTATATATATATAATCTATAAACTATAACATAAACATTTTTCATGTATACATTTTATATCCAAATTTACCTAAAATATTAAATTACTATTTTTTATTCATTTTTGTAAATTTCACACTTCAAACCATCATCCACACCTTTCAATTACCACCTAAATAAAATGTAACTACTCAAATGCAAAGTAAAACAACTCTTTTACACATCAAATTATTCCATAGAAAAGCATTTGAATGATTATTAACCATAAAATAATAAGTTGAAAAGTATTTATGGATACATGGATATGAGAAGTAAAAACTATTTTATAAATTTATTACATTTTCCATTTACTTAGTTTTGATTATTTAAAGTAAGAATAAGATTTATCTATAGCTTTAATTTCTTTTTCCCTCCCATGAATTCTCGTGAACAGTCACATATTCTTCCCATTGCTCCTCCTGAACAGTCGCATATTTCGTCCCATGGCTCCTCTTGAACAGCCGCATATTCCTCCTATGGTTCCTCTCGAGCAGTCGCTTGCACCTACTCATCAATGAAGAGGCAAGGTCTATTGGGGTATTGTTGCAAGTAAATTTGAATTGAAAATATAAATTATTAATTTCCTTTCATACAAAAGTGGCTGGTCGAGAAATACTTTTTTTTGTATCTAAAAAATAATTTTATTTAAAACTACTTCCCAAACAAAGAATGTGATCTTAGGTAGATTTGGACTTCTAAATACATTTTTCTGACCACACAAACAAAACCAGTTTTTAGAGGTTAGGTTGAGTTCCTCAGGAAGCTAGGCACATTCTTACGTTTGAAATGAAAAAGCCGATGACAAAAGAGTAAATTAGAAACTGAAATGTGGATTACAAAGATAATACAACACAATTAACACTCTATGTAAAATCAAAACCTTGAGTTGAGTATGTTGGAATTATAAATAACAAAACATATGTGAGTTATACTACTAGAATTTGTCTTATTAGTTGAGGATTTTCTTGCAAATTTTCCTCAAAAATTCGCAGGAAACAAGTTACCTGAAAAATTTTCTGCAAATTAAAATTTACAGGTAAAACCTTCATGATAACTCATTTTTCACGGATTTAAAAATTCGTAAGAAATTTTTTGTGAATAATTTTTGCATGAAAATAATAAATTTTTGCAGGGAATTTTGGCAAGAAAAATTATATTTTAAA